ACATTTTTCAAAAACTAATGTGTTTTATTATACAGATTGTCTTGTCCTTCTTGTCATGAAGACATGATAGGTGACTATTTTCAAACCATACAATCACATCAAGCCAAATTGTGATCCAATGATAGTATGCCCAGAAAGTGTAGCTAAAAAAGTCCAGACTTAAATCCGAACTGCAAATTTATGTGTATTGCTCTTAGAAAGACAATTCCTCTAGTACATTGCAAAAATAGAACTTCTCATACATAACTGGATCACATTTGTAGATGGACAGAAAATTCAAAAAATACTTACAAGGAAGTCAATCGGGGAATTATGAGCAAGTCCAGATGGTATGATACCCAGACATTTTGTTGTTGATAAATGCCTATTACAAATAGCAGTCAATTTTTTAAGATGGTTTCAATTATAACAAAAATAAATCCAGAAAGAAGATAGATAACAGTCTTAATACAGTTAAAAAGAAAATAAATGCTTACAAGATTTCCAATTAGTCAAGTTTGCTAGCGAGCTGGGATTCCACCCGTAAGGTAGTTATTATTCAGATAACTGCATATCAGAATTACAAAGGATCAAAAATTGTTTTTATAAGAACTACGCTCTGATAGCCTTAAAAAGGAAAATATTAAGTACTTCAAAATTCGCTGAAGCATAGACTTACAGGTTGCGAAGAGATGGAAAGCATCCCTCAATACGTATTAGTTCCCTAATAGTTCCCACCAAATGATTGTTACCAACATCCCTATGAAACATGGTTATCACAGAGAGATTATCTGCAATGAGATCAAATAGTAAAGCAACAAATACTGTAGGAATAGAACATATAGCGATCCGGGTTTACCCTTGTTGTACAGTGATCCGGACATGTGTCCGTGGGATGTTGGTAGTTGTTTATTATCTGTTGCATCCTTTTTATTTGTATTTGGTTATAGGATGTGTTGGCAGGTTGGTACAGGTTGGTTGTGGTTGGGAGCCTAGTGTTGCTGCCCAGATTTTTGGCCCTTCGGCTCGGCGAGGAGTTTGTCGCTCGATGCGAGAGTTGAGTTTGTCTGGTGGGTCGAGCCAGAGTGGCTTCGCCGAGCGAGCGATGGCGTCTGGTTCTGGACCCTGAGAGTTGCGTTTCTTGGCTCGAGCGAGATTTTTTGGCTCGAGCGGTCTGGTTTGTTCATCGCTCGAGCGAGAGGTCTGTCGCATCGAGCTGCCTCTGGTTACAGACCTGAGGGTTCGAGTTGTTGGCTCGAGCGAGCATTCCTTTGCTCGAGCGCACTTTTGAGTTTTGGCTCGAGCGAGAGTTCCTTGGCTCGAGCGAGAGTTCTGTGTCTGGTCGCTCGAGCGACCATGTCTTCGCTCGAGCGAGCGTGTTTTATATTCAGCGGACAGTAGCGATTTGAACATCACTTTTTCATCTTCTTTTTCTTTATCAAACCTAGACGAAACCCTCTCTCTCGTACTTCAAATCACTTTTCTCTTTCTCTTCTCTCTCTTACTTTTCCAAAATCACCATTGTTGAGCCTCTCACTCTAGAACTCTACCTTCTCTCTAGGTTTTGATCTAGTAGGAGTGATTTACTCACCTTTGGCCTTTACAAAAAAGTTGTTGATCGTCGAGGGCTTCATTTTAATCTGAAAATCTCGGGTTTTGGAGCACGTTGGGTTTTGTCATCTTCTTCTTTGGGGCTCCGAATTTGAGGTAGGGATATCCTACTCCTCTCTATGGATTTTGTCTTTAAATTTTAGTATTTTGAGATGTTGGGGTTGGTTTGGTAATTTTGTGAAAGTTTGGGACTTTTGTGCAATTTTACAAAAGTTGGGGGTTTTATTTATAATAAACCTAGATGCATGTTTGGTATAGAGAAATGGATTAAAAGTGGAATCATTGGTGAAATGGAACCTAAGGGTTGAAATGTTAATTATGGAATTGACCTAATCACATTGTTTGATTAATTGGGATAATTAATTGTGAGAAATGAGAAAATGTAATGTTGATTGAATATCCATTGTGCATTTATTTTCTGTTTAGAAATAACTGCTTTGGGCTATCGGTGGAGGATAGTCCAAAATAGTTATTTCTACATTCAAAAAGTGAATGGTGAAACTAATCAATGGAATGTGTCATGGAATTTGACAGTTGATAGAATACATTAATTGTATGTATTGAGATTGTATATAGAACCAATGTGTTTGTATACGTTATGTGTAGAGGAGGAGAAAGGGGATGTACTCCGCGGTTTAGGGGAAGATAGGGGATGTACCTCTAAACCGGATAGTGTTGGGAGAAGATAGGGGATGAACTCCGTAGATACAGCTTTTATGCTTGTCTAGAAAGGTGGAAGATAGAGCTTATATGCTTATCTTGTGAAGTGTGGATACAGCTTATATGCTTATCTGTGAATGTGGGATATAGTTGTTATACTTATCTGTTGAAATGATGATAGAGCTACCATGCTCATCTGTTGAAAAAGGGAAAATGAAAAGTAACTTGGACTCATAAGTCGTATGGCATAAATGTGATTTATGTGAATGTATCAGTGTTGGCCATCTATCAATTACTAATCTTTTAGTCATTGTTCATGGTTGGTTTAGTGTATTTCTACTGGGCTGTGGCTCACCCTTTATGGGAATATCATTTTCAGGTACAGGAAGCATGCCACCTCCAAGGACATAGCTTGGGAGGCTAGGACTGGACATACTTTTGTCGTATTACTTTTGATGTATTACATGTAGATTCAAGCCAAGGGCTTAATATGTATGAGTTAGTACTCTTTTTGTTGTAACCAAGTGTTAACTTGGAAAGCTGTAAGCCCGTAGGGCATTTGCTTTTGTTGTTAACATGTAATACTTATGTAATGGAATTTTGATAAATGAAGGAATGTGGAACTTTTGACTATCAATGCATGTCTTATTTGTTGGGTTTAATGTTATCGTTTTGAGGGCGTTACAGAACATGAAATTTACAAATGTCGGAGTTGTTGCAGAGTGCCCAATTCTGGTGGAATTCGCCCAATAAAACGATTTTCATGTAGATAGAGGTAACGTAGCAGAGGAAGATTAGCTAATTCTTTGGGGATTTCTCCTTTGAAATTATTGAAACTCAAGTATCTGCAGAAGATTCATTATAACACATTAATAGTATATAGAATAAATAATATGAGAAAATTCCAACAAAACTAATACCCTCAAAGATGATGAAATTACTCACAGATGGGTTAGACTCTTTAGTTCACCTATTTCAGGAGGAATGACATCTTGCAACTTATTCCACCTCAAATTGCTGGAAAGAAATAAGAAAGAAAAATACTGTAAGTAAACAGAAAATTAGAAAACAAAAAAGATCAGAGCAAGTGGGCTAGAGTTCTCAAAATTGGAGAAAATGTTTTCCACATGAAGTGGTTGGAAAAAAAAATTTCAATACAGACAACTTGTTAGTGTATTTGAATACAGACAACTTGTTAGTTAATAATAGGGTTTAAATTATACATCAGCAATTTCAATCCTCAAAGAATGTATTTGACTGGAGCAACTCATTTGATCATCTGACATCATACACTCCATTCACACAGACACTGTTTTATAAAATAGGAAATATTTAAATTGCTCAGCCATTTACTTCATTCCACCCTAATGTGACATGCTCTCCTCCAGATAGTCCAGACCCTGAGAAATCAAGGGTGAAAACAGTAATGTTTGAAGGCAACAATAATCAATAAATATTGAAATGAAAACCCTGGGAGGGCATCTAGTCTGGCTTTGGAGGCAGATTGAAGGTAGAGATTAACATAGTCAAGAAAAGACTTTACTGGAATACGTTGCCCATTAAGCTCAACCTTCACAGTCTTTCCAATGCATCCCGCCAAGTCAATCACCCGTTTTTTCATCAGGGCAACAACATCATCTTCAAGATGAGTAATATTGAATTTTGCTAAGTCAGGCTTAAATGTAACTTTTGTCCAGTTTTCGCTCTCCTTGCATTTTGTTATGACGGACTTAGATTTCTTTCCCATATTGTTGGAGAAAACCTTCATAGGAGTGGAAGGAACTTGCCAGTTAGCAAAGCACATGAATCATAATAAGGCTTTGTAAGGAAAACTATATGTACAAACAAAAGAATATGCTACCAACTTTTTTTTTAAAAAAAGATTCAAATCAGAATTTACATATTAGCAGGCAAGCGAAACATGCATGGTATGACTTAAATTTGGAAGAACCAAATTGATACAAAGAACAAAATATAAGAATTACCAATATAAGAATTACCAATATTTAATTTACATTACATCAATATATTTATTTATTTATTTATCAATTGATAAGAAATTACAAATACAAAAAAGACAATCGTAGTCCAACACATTTATAAACCAAACACAAAACTCCATAATGAAAAGAAATAAAACTCAACAAAAAACCCTATAATAGGGGAGACATTATCCATCTTTGCCAAACATTCGAATCTTACAATTCGGCTTGGATAGTACTTATCCAAACATATTTCAGTACAACAGTAAAATTAACACCACCACAAAACTCTTTTGGAAACATAGTAACACTTTTTCCTTACTAATAACAAACAATGCTATGCTTCCTATAACAAAGATCTCATCCGTATGCTATAGTATGCTAACAGTTTTTCATCAACAACAACAAATGAGTATATTTGCAGGTACATTAATAGGATTTTAATCAAATAATCGAAGTATTTGGTTGGTTACTACCCTTGCATTGAATGCAACAATGTATTGCATCTTGAAACAATCATTTTGAAAACATTTACCCAACCTGGTTTTGTAGTAAAGCTTCATCATTGAGCAAGAAATGGTTTGAATGTCATCAACACCCCGATTACTTCGATTACATTCAAGAGGAAGAAAACCATCTGGTCACCTGCATTCAAATGAACAAATACAACTAAATATAGATTTCAGAAGCAATAAAATGAAAAACACAATAATCATTGAAAAACAAATTTTTGGCAGATGTAAACGCTGGTTACGGAGTTACTGTGTTGTATTTATGAATCGGGCTGCTTTCAAATTGCATTATTAACAATTTTGGCAAAATCAATAGCTAACTCCATACTTTGTTTTGCAAAATAAGGATAAAAAGAGACGTGGCATGGTTGAGTGATCAAATGAAGTAGGATAGATTTATTGAAACTAAAGAATATCAAAGAATTACTTCAAACCAATAAAAGAATCGAAAGAAAATTTTCCAAATTATGAGGGAACACTTCAAAACAATATCTTCAGGAAGTAGATAACAAAAACCACATTGATATGGCAGTACTTGTGAAATTAGAAACCAGTGTTTGTAGAGACTTGAGAGCCTAACACCATTTTGTGCATCCGAAATCATACCCATGTCATGATCTGTAACTCAATTCAACTAATCTTAAAGGAGGACGACCCAATGCACGAAGTTTCCACTAAAGCAGGGTCTGGGAAGCATAAGATGTAAGCAGCCTTACCCCCACTGGGGACGCTAACAGCAATTCTTATCATGGGGGCAAGCCTCTCTTTGAATTGAACACTAGACATATGGTTTGAACACTAGACATATGTTTTGTTCATCATGTATAAAAGCACAAAGGGCACTAACATGATTGCCAACAACACGGCCTAACCCTAGCCTTGTCATTAACGAAGTCGACTTTCCAAATCAGTGATACCTACAGTACTACCGGATGCTTCCCTCATCATAAAACCAACATGAAATGCAATGGCAATGATGGTTATTAATACAAGCTATGATAGAAGCCATTGTAACACCTAGTTTGCCCAGACCATAGATCATGCTGCTTTTTCCACCATAACACTACAATACTGCCACAGAGTTCATTCATTATGTCATCATCACCATTTTATTGCTTCTTGTGCTGTCACCTGCTGGGACACCAGACTACCAATTGTTGTTGATGGGTTCAAAACGAAAGTATTCTCAAAATTAAGCCACAATTCAATGAGTCAACCCAGTTTGTGGAATCACCTACTGGGGGTGACTTTCCTGTTCCAAAACCGTGATTTCATGGTCAAGAGAAAAAACCGAATGATTATCACATTTCTTGTCAAGATAGAATCACAATTCCAACTATGATGGAACCACTCTAAAGGAACCAACCATGAAAACATGATTCTTTGGACAAAAGACACAGAAATCGAAAGAACAATTGGCCATGATGATCAAAAGCAACCTCATATGGGAATGAATGTTAAGAAACAACTTAATATATTCATTATGTTTCTTAAACCAATAAAGTCAAAATAGGCAACTATAGGAATGTTTGTGATCTCAGATAGAGAATGTCCGACGCAGTGTAGCCAACCGAAATTCAATAAATGGACTTAGTGGAGAGTTGTTACCTGGAAGGAAGGCAGCAACCTGACGCCGTTGTGCCCAAGAAAAGCTGCATAGATCATTGAGACTAATTAACAAATCCAATATATATATCAATTCATATCACACAAGTACTTTATAATCAACTAAGAATCATTGATATGACACCATACGGACATGCTAATGAAATAGTTTCCAAAAGAATCAGGACATGTATAACACAAATTTCACTTTTCCATAACAAATAAATTTATATCAAATAATTCCTTATATGCTTTTATAAATTGGAAAGGAAATGGAGATACAAAGTTCATTAGGTTTAGAAGTTCCAAGTATTCATAGATAAGGTGGGAGCCAAAAGTTCCACAAGTTTAGGCTTTAAAATATTAAAATCCCAATGGCAGGATTAAAATGTACAAATTCATACTTCTTTTTGCTTTCTTTTTTTATTTTATTTAAAATTATGCCAAGACCCTAGAAGTGGCTTACATGTGTTCAACTAGTAAACATGTGTCCAAGGTATAAAAAAACATAAAAGATGGCTAACATAATTAAGTGAGCACTCACACTGCTCCTCCAGCAGCTGGACCAACAGCTTTAAAAAGTGACATTGCAGTCATAGCTATGCCATTTGCTGCTCCTCTTTGGTCTTGGTCCTATTGTTATAGTATCAGGTATTCAAGAAACCAAATAAAAGACATTAGATGGGTAGAGGAAAAAATAATCAAAAGACAATCAGTAAAACTCAGAGGAGAAGAAAAATTACCACGGCATTGTTCTGTAGTATGAACGTGCTAGTAATAATAGTTATCTGGTGAAAGTGAAAAGTTGTGAGATAAATATTTAATTATTGAAAAGAGAAGATGGGATAGTATTTCTGAAACTAAGACTATAAAGCTCACTGAAAGAAATATGCTCCTCGCAGGTTAACGACAAGATCAGGTGCTAACATGATGAGCATGGTGTGCAACATTTTGATAACTTATGTGTCAACTTATAATGATCTTTTCAGATTCATGGAAGTTAAGAACATTACCTTGAATTATTAGCATTAAATCATTTACATCTACAAATACATCTATCACAATTTTTCCCTTTCCAATCCCATATTTTCAAAACATGGATGATTGATGAGCATTAGCAATTCCCCCAAAAACCCATTTCACAACCTTCCCATTCCACATAAGAAGCACAAACACGGACAAATGACATGACATAGACACGCCAACATGACAATTTTCAAAAAACACAGGGCACAACATATGAGGGACACATGCAGAATATATAATTAACATATTTATGATATATATTTCATTCAAAGATAACAAAAATTTACAGCATAACACTAATTTTTATAGTTTTTTGAGGGATTAATAGATATAAAACTATATTGTTTTTCTTTCTTATCATAGCATTCGAAGTTTTTTTGTTCAAACTTGTGTGTATCTAAGAGATAGGCACGTGTGTGCCCTAAATGTCCCAAACATGTCTGCGTCTACGAAAACTTTAAAAATAATAGGACGCATTTGGGCATGTGTCGGACACATGTCGGGAAGTGTTCTTCGAGTATTGTTGTCCGACATGGACGCACCACCTTCTTATAATTGTCCGTGCTTCTCAGCTTCGTATAAATACTAACAACAAATCAAAATTGCTATAATACTTAGAAAGGTTAAGACAGAATTTGCAAGGTTTGAATGGACTTACAGATAATATATTCTTTGCTATGGAAGCGCAATTTAACAACAGTGAGAGGCTGAATCCAGTTAGCATGGTCAAATAGGGGTAACATGTCAATAGAGGTACTGATAAAACCTACAAAGAGAATCATTATACATCCAATAAGAGTGAACTTAGCATATATTTCTCTGCATCTGAGAATGGCAAGAACATTAAGTTTTACAAGGATTGACTGCTTACTCCTGCAATGCGAGCTAACACGATATGGCCAAAAATCCTAATCATTACCGGATATAGAGAAAGTTGAAATACCAACAGGCCAAAACCTGAAAAATGAATAAGAATTCAGCAATCCAACCTTCAATACAAGTTCAGTAATACATGGATAGACATGTTAGGCAGAGAACCATCTGCAGATGGGGATGGAGGGGAAGCACACTAGTATTTTCCTAATAGAGATATGAGTAAAATTAATTTCCTTACATTTGTTTTATAAATTCAAGATCCAGACATAACAAAAGAAATGGGTGGCTCAGACTAGAAACATCAACGAGACTTGAGCCCAAGCTGAATGCATGGGAAAGGGGCGTCTGAACCACTAAAATTGGTTGCCTAAATTGTTTGCAAAACCAAAAAGAAAAACAACTTAGTCTAATTCCCTGGGTCTCCACCATTTTTAAAAACAACTCTTGCACACCAAATTTATTTTTCTTATGGTTTTTGTTTCATTTCATCTTTGCAATTGAACCAGAGAGAACAACGGCCAGGGAAAATGGAAAAAGGGCAGAAAATTAAAACAAAATAATATAGAAAGACTTTTATTCTTATAGTTAATAGTGAAATATTTCAAATTCAAAAAATATTTACTACGAGTCTATAAACACAACAAGAACAACAATTTTAATTTTATTCCCATTATCAAGATATTTGAATGATCAACAAAAACACTTCATTAGCACTTAACACGCAGGGACTATTTTAATACTGAATGATCAACAAAAACACTTCATTAGCACTTAACACGCGGGGACTATTTTAATACTTTGTATTCTAAGTCTTCCATTGTTTGATACTCTATTTTTTTATTGTTAAAAAGAAAAAGTATAGAGGCAAGATTGAACTTAGTGTTTATCAGTAACAAAAATACATTGGGAGTGGGTGGCAGGGGAGGTGAGGTGGGAGGGAGGTGGCAGATGGTGATGGGAGAAGTGGGTTGTTTAGGGTTAGGATTTTTTCCCTCTCATTTTGTCTTTCTGGATAAAAATGGAAGGTGGACGATTAACAGACCTAATGAGAGGGGCAACCTTTACTTTCTGCAGAAGCAGACTACTAGGAGAGCTGACCAAGGAAGGACATCAATCTAAAAGCAGCAAATAAGTGGCGCTAAATTTTGTTATATAACTTTCTAAACACAATGAAGTGTCATTTATTCCTTTAAATACTAATGAACATGGAAAACATGAAAAAAAATAGATTTAATTGAAGAATGTGCCTTTAAGCTTATGAGATTTTTATGGTACAGGAAATTAATTTGGACATGATCAAATCTAAATCGTTGAGTAATATCTACCACTCTACCTGTTACAGCAAGGACAACCCCAACATTGTCACTTGTATAGCTCAAGCCCACATTCTTTCTAGGGCTGTCAGCCCATAATGAGAATATCTGCAGAAAAAAATTGGTTGCCAATGATACCCAATGAGAAAATTAGAGACAAAAAGACAAAAGCACTCTGGTCAATGTATAGGTAGTAAAAAAACACTTGCACAAATAATTACTTTGAAGATGACACTAATATTACCTCTACCTGGCATTATTAAGATTTAGAGAAAGGTAACAACTCTTGACAATTATTGATTCTGATGTGCATGACATAACGTTTAATTAACAGTTCACCAAGTGTTAGAAAATACAAAAACAAATTTGCCTTCAGATAAAAACATGAATAGGCAAATGGATAAAAAATAAAAGCATGAACAATTTTACCATCTTGTTGCCAAAAGTAGAACCTCAGACCTTGCAGTTATCAGATTACCAAAAAATATTTTCAAAGGGAAAGTCATAGTAAGGTCAACGTTCCCTTCTATTATCAAACTTCATTACACAAAACTAACTGATTCAATCAAAATGAATTCTTGTTTGTTTTGACTACAGTGTTATGGATGACCTGACAACTCTATTTCACATCAGCTAATCTAGTAGCTAGTCAAACTTCATTACACTTATTTAGATTACACTACTAGAATTTAAAATACTTCAATGCACCCATTCCAAAATATGAATCGCCAGGGTTAGTGTTTTCTGGTAACACTGTGCTAATCCAATTGGAAAATGATTGTTGAGCAAAAGCTTAATTATCAACTCAATCAAATCCCAAAAGCACATAGTGAATTCACAATTCTACTGTTACCACAACACATAAATAAATCCTAATCAAACAAATAACTGCAAAAACCAAAGAAATAAACGAAACCCTAAACCCTAATTTCATGAAATTGAAGCAAATACCTGAGACCCACCAAGCTCCTCAAACTACTTGACCCAATCCTCCATCATTGGATCCTTTCCGAAATCGTCTGCAAGGGGTTTCGAGCCCGTGACAGGCTCGAGTCCCCTGACAGCCTCCCTAGTCTGCTCTCTAAGCTTATCAAGAGCTTCCGAACACATGAGATTCTTTGGAAACCTTTTTCTTGCCCTTTTTCTTATTTACAAACAACATTCATATAGGTGAATACTGAAAAGTTCCAATTTCCAAAGAAATGAAAGTGCACCATTTGATATCGCAGCAACATTCATAAAAAGATAAGTCACTCGTGATTCAAAAATATATGGGACTTGTTTACCCATTGAAAAATATTTTTCAATTACCACTAAAGTCATTATTTTTCCAAGTTGAATGACAACAAAAAAGAAAAAAGAAAAAAAAGGAAGATACTTTTGTGAAAATGATCAAGAAGAAGTAAATGTCTAAACATACTTTGCCAGAAAAAGTAAGATTTAAAGAGAAGTAAATTAGACAGATACCATTTCCAGGGGTTTCTCTCCAGTTCCAAGGGGGTACTCCACTGGCTGCAACTGCATCAGCTGTGGTAATGGCAAGCGGGTCACCATCATGATCTAAGATCTTTCAAGGTTCACCGTTGACCGGCCACTAGCTAAACACAGAGCAAAACACAAGCCAAAAAAAATTAGAGAAACACATGAACCAGTAGCGCAGCATATCAATTCAAAGTTAAAAATTGCCAAAGAAATTATGCAACTTACCTACTACAAACCAAATGAAAGGAAAGGCTAAGTTTTAGCATCTTGAAATTAAACCATATACAAGAGTGACATGATCATTGATCAAAATTACAAGATTGAATGCCATGGCAATTCATGACCAACTAGTGATCCATTTGGTTTTTTTTTTTTTTTTTTTTTTTTTTTTTGTAAGAAGCTAAAGAGTCACTGAATTTAATATAATAAATATAGCGATCCCGGGTTTACCCTTGTTGTACAGTGATCCGGACATGTGTCCGTGGATGTTGGTAGTTGTTTATTATCTTGTTTGCATCCTTGTTACTTCGTATTTGAGTTATAGGATGTGTTGGGCAGGTTTGTTACAGGTTGGTTGAGTTTAGAAACCAAAACTAGTTGCCCAGATTTTTACCTGTACGCTTGAGCGGGGGTGTTGGCGCTCGAGCGGGGATTGCACCCGTCCAGTTTTTTCTGTGCAGTGTTGGACGCTCGAGCGTAGAATTGGCCACTCGAGCGGGGTTGTGTAAGTGCCGCTTGAGCGGGGAGTTGGAAGCTCGAGCGGAGACCTGGTTCTGTATAAGTTCTGGGAGTGTGTATTCGTCGCTCGAGCGGGATTGTTGGCGCTCGAGCGGGAGTCTGTGAGTTACGCTCGAGCGGAGTGTTTTACGCTCGAGCGGGCCGACTGGGTTTTAGTTCCGTGTTTTGACATTTCAAGTCACTTTTTCACTTTCTCTTCTCTCTCCTACTTTTCCAAAAACACCATTGTTGAGCCTCTCACTCTAGAACTCTACCTTCTCTCTAGGTTTTGATCTAGTAGGAGTGATTTGCTCATCTTTGGCCTTTACAAAAAAGTTGTTGATCGTCGAGGGCTACATTTTAATCTGAAAATTTCGGGATTTGGAGCACGTTGGGTTTTGTCATCTTCTCCCTTGGGGCTCCGGATTTGAGGTAGGGATATCCTACTCCTCTCTATGGATTTTGTCTTTAAATTTTAGTATTTTGAGATGTTGGGGTTGGTTTGGTAATTTTGTGAAAGTTTGGGGCTTTTGTGTAATTTTACAAAAGTTGGGGTTTTAGCTATATAAAACCTAGGTGTATGTTTGGCATAGAAAAGTGAAATTAATGTTAAAACATTAATGAAAATGGAACCTAAGAATTGTAATGTTAATTATGGAAAATCACCTAATTACACTGGTTAATTAATTCGCATAGTTAATTATGAGGAATGAGGAAATGAAAATGTTGATTGAATATCCATTTTGTGCATTTATTTTCTGTTTAGAAATAACTGCTTTGGGCTATCGGTGGAGGATAGTCGTGATTGTTGTAGACAATGCATGATGATTAGGCAAACGAAAACTAATCAATGGAATGTGTCATGGAAATTGGCGATTGATAGAATACATTAACTGTATGTATTGAGTGATTGTATATAGAACCAAGGTGTTTGTATACGTTGTGTGTAGAGGAGGAGATGGGGGATGTACTCCGCGGTTTAGGGGAAGATAGGGGATGTACCTCTAAACCGGATAGGTATTTGGAGGAGATAGGGGATGTACTCCGTAGACAGAGCTCATATGCTTGTCTAGAGAAGTGAAGATAGAGCTCATATGCTTATCTTTGTGAAGTGTGGATATAGCTTATATGCGTATCTGTGGATATTGTGGTTATACATATCTGTTGTAGAATGTGGGTATAGCTTATATGCTTATCTGTGAATGTGGATATTGTTGTTATACATATCTGTTGAGAATGTGGATAGAGCTTATATGCCTATCTGTTGAAAAGGGAAAATGAGAGGTAACTTGGATCATAAGTCGTATGACATAAATATGTGATTTATGTGATTGTATCAATGTTGGCCATCTATCAATTGCTAATCTTTTAGTCATTGTTCATGGTTGGTTTAGTATATTTCTACTGGGCTGTGGCTCACCCTATATGGGAATATCATTTTCAGGTACAGGAAGCATGCCACCTCCAAGGACATAGCTTGGGAGGCTAGAGGCGGACATACTTTTGTTGTTTTACCTTTTTGATGTATTACATGTAAATTCAAGCCAAGGGCTTAATGTGTATGAGTTAGTACTCTTTTGTTGTAACCAAGTGTTAACTTGAAAAGCTGTAAGCCCTTAGGGCATTTGCTTTTGTTGTTAACATGTAATACTTATGTAATGGAATTCTAATAAATGGAAGAATGTGGAACTTTTACATATCAATGCATGTCTTATTTGTTGGGTTTTATGTTATTATCTTGAGGGCGTTACAATAAAAAAATTATTAAATAGGTCCATAATGCACACAAGCTCCTATGGTCATAACTACTAAGATTAATGATCATCTTTATTGTTAAGACATATACTTTCGTACTCAATAAAGCATTAAATCTAAACTATTTGAAGTTTGTTATGGAAAAACTTATAGCAATTGTTACTCAACTGTATAATACATTGTTCCTCCCAATGTACCCATGTTCATTGAATATGACAAGAATAAGAGTATGAGATATGTTTCCAAAACCTGTATAATATTTAGATGCATCTACATACCCATAATCAACTTTTGGATACATATCTCAATAACCAAATATTTAGATTTAGGAAGATTTGACAAACATTCATACCCAATACTCGTATCCTAGTACATGTAATATACATTAGATCTGCAATTTATTCATATTTGAGAGCCTAATCTTGTTTGGCAGAGATAGAGCCAATTTATAGGCTTTATCAAATCTAATCACCATATGAAAACCTTCTAAACTACTCACTCCTGCCCAATATCGTAACTTAATAGGACTCAAGTATCAAATCAGTAGGAGTCCAACAAGGACAATATGCACGTTGTCTTTTTCCAAGTCCTAGCCCACATCAACTATGCTGCATCAGCTTCCTGATGGATTGAAGACAAAGGGACTGCATATAAACTTTGTTCAAAAGGTATCATGAAGCCACTATTTGAATTAACAAACTTCATGGACCCAAAACACCACAATAAAAATTATCAAATCATACTTTTCCCCGGACATCAATTAACATCATCAGCTGAAGATCCATGCATGTAATTTATTATTGCACTCTGAGAACTGAGCATGAAATGGAGACCAACTCTTAAACAAAATAATGAAAGATCAATGTCTGGTAAGAACTAGAAGTCCAAAGACCAATTCCTGAATACAGATAGACATTTTGACAACAAATTATAAGCCCACCACTACATCAAGCAGCTGCATTCCAATTCACACAAAAATTATGGGATTAAAACAAGCCTAGGTATCAAAGTGGAGTAGTAGACAATTAAAAAAATACACAGAGAGTGGTAGAAACAATACATCCTCTACTCTTTAGCAGATTCAGGGTAAAATTGAAAATTAACTCTAGTTATATAATGATAGACATTCATTTTGGCATACAAGTAATCCATGAATGTTAGCCATAATATGGTAATAAGGTCTTGACATAGACGTGATGTTCCCATGATGAATCAATCGATTTAATGTGGGCATCACTCTTAGTACCCTATCACATACTTCCAACTCCTGGCAGGGTAAATGTCTAAAAACAAAAGAAAAAAAAGGAAGATACTTTTCCAACTCCTGGCAGGGTTAGTGAGTTGTGTAATAGGCAACCATTTCGTGTGGTTGGGGTCAACATGTTAATATCTGATTCTATAAATAAAACAATTAATCCTCAAATATGTAAAAGTTCATTTTTTTCCTTTTGGTGGAGTTGGGGGAATAAAAAGGAAATCATTTTAGAAGGCAACAAATAAATGAGATGCGCACTCTTAACTTGATAAAAAAATTGTACCGAAATGCTATGATAAGTCGATTTGTAGTGAAGTACCTTCCACTGAACCAAATGGGATATTGCCATCCTCAAGACCTGAGAAAGAGTACCAGGTAGGAAATCATTTAGCAGAACAAACACTGATGCCTTTGCAGGAGAGGCACAAAGCAATATACTTATAATAAATAAAAAATAAAAAAACCCAAACCAAAGGCACCGCTTTTATAAAACTCTGGAACAGTAAGAGCAAGAAATAGAAATGTCAACATAAACAGCTAATTTTCACATGTGATCACAAAATGAAATGGAGTAACCCAAAAGGCAGTGGGTAGTTATGTATTTGGTAGTTAACAACTTCTGTTAGAGCATCTAAAACCCTTCACCAATTTTTCATCTAAATTTATTCAAAATTTGAGTAAAAAACTAGATTTGATATAAACTACTCCAATCCTTTCATCAAAATCTTTTAAAAATTCGTCTCTTCTCCAATGCTTTATATTTTCAAATTCAAATTTGATGAGTTCTCAATTTCATTAAAAATAAAATAAAATCTCTCCCTTGATTTGATGAAAGGATTGGAGATGGTTTTTTAGCACTTTACGTGTTATTAAACATGCACAGATAAAAGTTAGCTCAAAATGCAGAGTACATGTCATTGCTATTTAAATGGCACACTCACTGTTAGTGTAGATGATATTTCAAATTAAATTTTGATCCTTAACTGTAACTATAACTAGAGAAGCTGGCCTTAATCAAATTGTTTATCCAAGCAACCAAAGTAAGAAAAAAGAAAAAAAGAGTTGTTGAACAACTCCAATCCCAAACCATTTTATGCATGCATTTTCTATTTGAAAATCGTAAGTTTAATCAGTTTATGATGCATTCGGCCCTCCATTTTAAACACTAGAACCAACCCACAGTTATCAGTCTATCAAGGTTTATATGATTGATCCATATCACACATCAAAACAGTGGGTTGACACCTTGGCTCTATTAAACACATCACATTCAATTTAATAATTTTCTAGAAAAGGCAACTGTTAAACTTGGAATTAAATAAATTATGATGAATAGGATTAAGAGGTGTTGTGGTTCATGGAAGTGGTAGGCACACAAAAAATTTTGAGGGTTTGACAGCTCTGTACTGCATTCACCAAAATTATTGATTGCTTTTGTAGTTACATGTGATGACCGCAATATTAAAGACTTTGAAACATGTCAAGGAGAAAACATGATCAACAAACAACGAAACAACTACATTACACAATAAGGATAAGAAACTAACGTAATATTTTGACATGCATATCTCTTGACAATTTGTGGATTTTGATTTTTGTTCACTCCATTTTAAGTCAATTTGTGCTATGCTTTCGAAATGTAGAACAGGTAGCACAAAAAACAAAAACACATAATTCCTTCCAAGCTATAGAGTTCCTACCATCCTCTGCACTGGTACTTGCCCGACCTTGTCGCCCAAAATCTCTAAGCAGACAGTTTACAAAGTCTAAAAGGGGTAATTCCTTCTTGACTGTGTGCTTTAACAGATGTAACCAACGTGTTTGTGATGTTCAATAGAGCTTCAGCATCTGCAGCTTGTTCTCTAGGTTTCTGTACTGAAAACCAAATTAAAGAAAGCACTATTGTCAAGAGGAAAGTTAATTACCAGAATCGTTCATTGATAATCGAATTGAACTTGTCCGAATCAACCCTTGATAAATCATCTCTCCTATCTACAACAAACAACAATCAGAAACGAAACAAATAATAATAATAATAATAACCAAATAAAATTAAGAATTTGTTAAGAGGAAAGTTAATTACCAGAAATTAGGGTCCGAACAGCGAGATATCGAGATCGAATGTCACGCCCCACTTTTTATTACTCGGAGTCAGTACCAAATTCTTTAACTTAATCCAATTTCAGAGATAACATGCGGAAATAAACTAATACATTCAATCCTTAGAAATGATTAACAATACTCTCATTCGTATGGATTAAAAAGTAGTAGTGTATATATAATCATACTTTAATTAGAAGGTGTGATTAAAAAATATATATATAATGACACTTAATTGAAAAGTGACATAAAAAATAAATATTATCACACTCAATCAAATTAAGTGTGATTAAAAATTAATCTAATTTTTTTTATCGCACTTTCAATAAAAGTGAGACTTTTTTTTTTGTCAAAGTGTGATTTTTAACTATTTTTGTAATAGTGTGGGGTGAGGTTTGGCAGTGGAGGAGAATTTGAACAAAATGTTGTGTGTAATTGTAAACAGAGAATAGGGGTGGGTGCGAGATTTCCCTCTAAAAAATTTCACCTTTAACGATTAAATTCATTTTTTGTCGCAAAATCTCAAATATATAACGACTAATTTTTTTAGTCGCCAAATCTCAATCAACGGTGACTAAAATATTAGTCGCTAAAAATATTAATTTGGTGACTAATTTTTTTTTTGTTGCTGAAAATAAGTTTTTTGCGACCAAATTTTTGGTCGCCAAAAAAAATGTCACCTTTTGTGACCAAATTTGTAGTTGGTAGCCAAAAGCATACCACTTTCTGCGACCAACTCTTTTTTTGGTCGCCAAAATATAACCTTCTGCGACCAATAATATTTGGTGGCCAAAAATAATGATCATTCGCGACTAATTAATATTTGGTCGCCAAATGTCATTTTTTTGTGGCAAAAAATTTTTTGGTCGGCAAAAGTGGTCGCCAAATGTGTAAATTCTTGTAGTGTGTTTCTCTCTAATTTCTTCAATGATTGCAGACTAAGCAGAGATGGTGGCTAGAATTCCACCTTATTTACACAGAACTATCTCAATTTCATTCCTCTCTAAGTCACATAACAATTCTCTGTGGCCATTGAGTAAACATGACAAATTTCCAATAGATTTTCGGCTCAAGGCATTTGCGACTGTATTTGCCTTCCCTGGATGGTACAAAATCTGCAACTTATAATCTTTAATCAACTCTAACCATCTTCTCTATCTCATATTTAGTTTTTTTTTAGTAAGAAATATTTTAAGCTTTTGTGGTCAGTGTACACCTCGCAAGTCGCACCATACAGATAATGGCGCCAAATTTTTAATGCAAAAACCACAGCTGCTAATTCAAGGTCATGAGTTGGGTAATTCTTTTCATCTGGGCAGAGTTGTCGAGAAGCATAGGCAATCACCTTTCCATTCTGCATTAACACACACCCCAAGCCTTTGTAGGAAGCATCACTGTAAATTTGAAACCCATCAATTCCGTTAGGTAATGCCAAAATTGGTGCAATTACCAGTCTAGCTTTCAGTTCTTGGAAGGCTGATTCCTATTGATCAGTCCAATCAAATGACACATTTTTCTATGTTAACTGTGTCAATGGCATGGCAAGTTTAGAGAAGTCTTTTACTGTAACGCCCTCAAAATAACAACAATAAACCCATCTAATAAGATTTCTGACACATTGGTTAGTCTTGGCCAGTCCATAATGGCCTCAATTTTCTGTGGATCCACCGATATGCTGTCTTTGTTGATTACATGTCCTAGAAATGCTACACTGTCAAGCCAAAACTCACATTTGGAAAGTTTGGCAGACAACTTCTTCTCTTTTAGAATCTGTAAGGCAGTTCTCAGATGGCTTTCATGTTCTTCCCTGCTTTTGGAGTAAGTCAGTATATCATCAATAAATATAATGATAAATTCATCAAGGAATTGTTTGAAAACCCTGTTCATTAGGTCCATAAATGCTATAGGTGCATTAGTTACCCCAAATGGCATTACCAAAAACTCATCAAGCCCATATCTAGTTCTTAATGCAGTTTTCTCTATGTCTTCTGCCTTAACATTTAGTTGGTGATACCCGGATCTTATGTCAACGACTTACAAGTCCCAATTACTTTTCATTTTCCCTTTTCAATAGATAAGCATGCTAACTCTATTATCATTTCCACAGATATGTATAAAAACTATATCTCACATTCTCAACAGATATGTATATCAACAATATCCACAGATAAGCATACAAGCTGTATCCACCTCCTACAACAGATATGTATATCAACAATATCCACAGATAAGCATACAAGCTGTATCCACACTCTACAACAGATATGTATATCAACAATACCCACAGATAAGCATACAAGCTATATCCACACTTCACAAAGATAAGCATACAAGCTGTACACATCCTACAACAGATTGTATATCAACATATCGCAAGATAAGCATACAAAGCTGTATCCACACTTCACAAGATAAGCAATGGTAGCTCTATCTTCACTTCTCTAGACAGCATATGAGCTCTGTCTACCGGAGTTCATCCCTATCTCCTCCAATAACTTCCGGTTGTAAGAGGTACATCCCCTATCCTTCCCCTAAACCGCGGAGTTTACATCCCTATCTTCCTCCTCTACCAAACGTATATAAACACATTGGTTCTATATACAATCACACAATACTACAATTAATGTATTCTAACAACTGTCAAGTTCAATGACACATTCAATGATTAGTTTCCGTTTACTTAATCAATCAATGCATTGTCTACAACAATCACGACTATCCTCCACCGATAGCTCCAAAGGCGTTATTTCTAAACAGAAAATAAAATGCACAAATGGGATTTGAATCAACATTTTCGTTTCCCTCATTTCTCAGCCAATGAATTATCCCAAATTAATTAAACAATGTAATTAAGGCCATTTCATAATTACCGCATTTCAACCCTTAGGTCCCATTTTCATCAAATGATTCATCGAGAGTCACTACATTTTTTCATGCTAACATGCATCTAGGGTTTACTTATAATAAGAACCCCAACTGAGTAATTGCACAAAACCCCAAACTTTCACAAATTACCAACCAAGCCCAACATCTCAAATACCAAAAATTCAAAAGACAAAACCATAGGAGCAGGAAGTAGGATATCCCTACCTTGAAGTTTTTAAGCCCAAAAGGAGATGAAGACTGCCAAGATCAACTTGCTCCAAACCAAACTTCTTTCAGATTAAATCGAAGCTCTCAACGCCCTCTATCTTTAAACAAAGGCCCTAGGCTAGATTCAACACCCTAGGGAGAGAAATCTTAGAGAGGTGTAAGGTTTTAGGAGAGAGAGTGTCGAATTTAGGTTTTTAACTCAAGAAAGGGACTGAAAAGTGATGTTTTTAGACGCTGCTGTCCGCGATATAAAAACACTCCTCGCTCCGAGTGCGAAGGATTGGTCGCTCGAGCGAGCCAACAACAGAAACCTCGCTGAGCCAAGAAGTTCTCGATCGAGCGAAGAAAAACCCAGACCGCTCGAGCCAAGAAAACTCGCTCGAGCCAGAAACTACCACCTCGAGGTCAAGAACGCGGGAGCAACACATACTCTCGCTCGAGCGACAACTCTCGCTCGAGCGAAGACCAAAAATCTGGGCAGCAACACTAGGCTCCAAGCACAACCAACCTGTAACAAACCTGCCCAACACATTCCCATAACTCCAAAATACAAAGTAAAAGAGGTCGCAAACTAAGGAAATAAACAACTACCAACTTCACGGACATATGTCCGATCATTGTACAACAAGGTAAACACCGGAATCGCTATAAATTACAAATCTGTGGTAGTAGCCACAAGCCCCGAAGACTTCTGATTTCTGAACACATTGGTTAATCTTGGCCAGTCCATAAGGCCTCATTTTCTTGTGGATCCACCGTATAATGCTGTCTTTGTTGATTAATGTTCCTAGAAATGCTACAACGTCAAGCCAAAAACTCACCATTTGGAAAGTTTGGCAGACAACTTCTTTCTTCTCTTAGAATCTGTAAGGCCGTTCTCAGATGCTTCATTTCTTCCCTGCTTTGGGTAAGTCATATATGCATCAATAAATATAATGATAAATCATCAAGGAATTGTTTGAAAACCTGTTGCATTAAGGTCCATAAATGCTATAAGGTGCATTAGTTACCCCAAATGGCATTACAAAAAACTCATCAAGGCCCATATCTAGTTCTTAATGGCGTTTCTGCTAATGTCTTCTGCCTTAACATTTAGTTGGTGATACCCCGATCAAAGGTTTATCTTAAGAACACTTGTGCTCTTTGAAAGCTAGTCAAATAGGTACATCTATTTAGGGTAGGGGTAATTTGTTCTTGAAAGTCGACTCCTTTGTTCAATTTCCGATAGTCTAGTACACAGCCTAAAAAATCCATCTTGCTATCTGACAAACAAACTTGGAGCACCCCATGGTGAAGTGCAGTCGGATAACTTTTTATCTAACAGTTCTTGAAGTTGGCCTTTCAATTCTTTCAATTCTGAGGTGACAATTCTATAAGGGGTTTGGAATATAGGTTGTTCCCAAGTAGTACATCAATGGTGTTCAATTCTCTATCAATATTCCCAGGTAATTTGATTTGGAAAGACATCAAGGGAATCGCAAGCAACAAGAAATAGTTTCACATTAGGACTAGCAACGTCCGATCAGAACAACAATCACATATAGCCCTACATCCCTTCCTAAATAGTTTTAACACAGGCTTTCATGGCGAAATCAAGTATGGTGGAGGAACTACCCATTCCCAACAAACACAAACGCAGGTAACCGGGGAACGAACACAATTGTTTTATTCACACAGTCATTAGTTGCAACAGTAACTTCGTCAACTACGCCATCACATACCTCAACATGCAGTCAAAATGATTCATTCCCCAAATGTATAAATCACAACATACAACCGTCCATATCACTCGATTACAACATAACATGCTAGATAA